GGCTGCCCTGTGGGTCCTGGGAAGGAGCTTGTATTGAGAAAACTGGCGGGTGGCGGCAAACCGGCAGGTGTGGAAGGACCCGCAAGCGTTCTGGAAGAGAGGGTCAGGGTTTGCACCGGAGGCGGGATCTAACATCAGCTTGGTGGAATCCGGTACTACGGTAGCGCGTTCAGGAAGGAAAAATCGGGAAGTTGAGCTGCAACGCATCAGAAAAACTGCGCTTGAAAAGGACTCCAAACGCCAGGAGTTCCCTCTAATTTGCTAACTACTGGTGCATGGAGGGGAGCGTGGTGGTTCTTTTCTCTTTATTTCCGCTCTGAAGCACATCATATATTTTTATATGTGAGGTCATTATCCCCTTAAGAGCTTTTGAGCACTGCCCCAGGTGCCGCTTTTCTAAATAGTTTTTGTTAGCTAAGTAAAAAACACTGTTACTGAAACAAAACTACTGTGTCTGAACCACGGTGGTAAGTTTACACAGTGCAACAATGGGCAAACTTACTAGTATAAATCTCTGCTCAGAATTCAGTTACATGGTTTCACATACCACGTAAGACATGCAGTAGAGTGCTTTATTCACCTCCCTGCAAACAGAAGCTTGAATATACACTAGGTGTTTTCTTCTCCCCCTTTCTTGCAGGAATAAGTTGTAATATATACAGCAAAATCTCTCCTCTGAACGTGTTAAACAGGAAGAGTATTACTTTGTATACATGAAGAAATATTTCCTTAAATATCACTCTAGAATTTTGCTAGGTGGTGGGGATTGTTATTTTTTCCTGATTTCTTAAAAATAGTAAACCCTATAGCTTTATTAAAGTTCTGAAATATTTCTACTTTATTATTTTGTTGAAATTAGAGTGATGTAGACATGCTTTTTCTACCTCAGTTACACTTTCAGTTCTTAATTTCAAATGTTTTAGCTCTTCATGTTGTTAAACCCTAGCCCACAGTCAACTATTGATAGCTAAATATTTTGGCTTGTATTTCATGCATTGAAAAGAAAGAAACCAACCCACAGACAGGTTTTCCCAGTTCTCTCTGAAACAGAGATGGGAGGGCATTTTAAAAACCAAGGTAGTGCATGGCTGTGCTTGCCGTCTTCCCTTCCCATTCTATAGATTGATGATGGCTGGCTTGGATAATTGTGATTGCAGCTGCTACTGCATTATGGGGAAAGAAGATTCTCTCTTAGGCAGACTGCTTCCAGATGACTATGTCCATATATTGGTTCCTGATTAAGGCTGTTGGCCCAGAGATCAAGACCGCAGCTAAAGTTTTAGGCAAATACCTGCTCTATTGATCATCTACTAACACGTAGTGTGTGTTGTGCATTTTTAGAATGCCGTGCTTCAGTGATGAATGTATGTCTTGTGCATACATTTATACATTGTTATGTGTAACTTTGTGGTGTGGGGTTTCTTTTGTGAGTTTGTGTGTGTGTGTTTGTTTGGGTTTAAAGAAACTATAACTTTGTTATTTTACAATGAAGTCAGTATTTTCCTGTAGGATCTGGGGGAGGGAAATTGGTTCTTAGTTTTGAAATTCTGTCCTTCTTGGTGTTAAAAGCCAATATAGCAGTTTAAAGATAGATCTTCAAGTAGCTTCTGGGAAATGAACTTATGAATGAATTGATTTTAGCGTTCTTATAACTCTATTTTAAAATCATGAGGATTGCAGATGACTACCATGTGATATGACTAAGCTTTTCATTCAGTGTTTTTACAACAAGATGATCTCTAGGAAATACTCAAGGGGAAAACAAAAATCTATCAATAACCTTGGGCTGTTTCATGGTTTTGATAACTGTTGACTGAAGGAGACCATATACATTGTTGTATATGGTCATAGTGTAGGATGCAGTCTTAGGTTTGTTTCTGACGTTTGTTTGACCTAATGGCCCAACATTATCATGTTTGATAACTGATTGGTACTATCTTGCAGCATGGTATGTGTACTGGCGATGCAGAAACCACGTAGCAGAAAGCTTTGAGCAGTTGTGGATTCTCAGTTTCTCCCAACAGCAATAAAAAGTGAAGAATGAAGGCGACTGGATTTATTTCCCTATGGACGTTGGTTTCACTGCCTTGTGGCCAGTTAGCAAATCCTGCAGAACATGAAGATGTAGTAAAGCATGCAATAAAGCTGCACCGTGGGAAAGGAGCTGTTATCACTCAGAGAAAGCAGTGGGTGTTGGAGAGCTGCAGAAAACTGTCTGGTCTTCTTCGCCAAAAGAATGTTGTTCTCAATAAACTAAAAAATGCTATAAGAGCAGTTGAGAAGGATGCAGGACTGTCAGATGAAGAGAAACTTTTTCAGGTGCATACCTTTGAAATTTTCCAAAAGGAGCTAAATGAAAGTGAAAATTCGGTCTTTCAAGCAATTCATGGCCTCCAGAGAGCTCTACAGGGTGATTACAAAGATGTTGTAAATATGAAAGAAAGCAGTAGACAGAGACTGGAAGCCTTGAGAGAAGCTGCAATTAAGGTTAGTTCCCCCATGTTTATTACTG